TAATTTGTGAACATTTAAACAGATCACGAATATATTTTTAAAATTTTGAACATTTTTAAAATTTACGAACATTTTTGTTTCCACTTCCCTTTTTCGGTTTCTTTTTCTTAATTAAATGTTTTTTTGCATTCATGATCTTTTACAAAATTAAAGAACTAATACAATCAAAAATATATTTTTACAAAATTGTTCAGTATATGTTTCAAAAAAAGTTACGTGTATATTAAAAAAAAGTTCACCGTGTATTGGAACAATGTTCAGTGTGTATTAAAAAATGCTCATCGTATAATTTAAAAAGTTCACTGTGTATTAAAAAAATCAGCATATAATTTAAAAAGTTCATTGTATATGAAGAATGTTCAACATATACTAAAAATGTTTACTGTGTGTATTAAAAAATATTCATTGTATAACTAAAAGAAGTTCATTGTATTTTAAGATATTCAATGCACATTACAAACAAGGTAGTGTGCATGCAAAAAATGTTCATGAATTCAAAAAATTGTTCGCAAATTCCAAAATTGTTTAGGTATTCATTTTTGAATAATTTCATAATTCCAAAATACTTTTAAATACACAAATATTTTTTTAGATTCGTAGTTATCTTTTATCAAAATAAAGCATGCCGGAATAGATTAGAAATGAAAGATGTAAAGAAAAATAGGATGCTGTTTTTTTCCCGTGTGCTGCCTCACTGTTTGTTTTCATGTTCGCAGGGCAGGCACCTGGGCAGCCCATTAGGTTCTTCGCTGAATGCCCGAGTCGCTCGCCCAGCTCGCCGTTAAAAAAAAACAGTAGCTGCTACTTCTGAAAAATAAAGAAACCCGAATTTCGGAAAAAAAGGAATTAAAAACATGAAAACTTATAAAAAGTTTTCATACTGAAAATAATTCATAAATTTAAGAAACAAAATAATGAATTTAAAAAAAATCAAGGATTTGAAATTAGCAATGTTATTCATAAAGGTTCATGAATTTGAAAACAATTGATAGATTTTTAACAAGTCACTAGTATAAAAAAAGCATGAATTATTTTTTCCCATGGATTCATGGTCTTAAAAAAATTCATGAATTTTAAAAAAATGTTCATGAAATTGAAAAATGTTGATGAATTTAAAAAATAGAAATAATAAATTAAAATTAAATTAACGGTGAGGTGGCCACAGCGCTGCAGCCATCGAAGCTGCACCAGGCACCTTCTTCCTTCCTCGCTGACCCCTGGTGCAGCTGCTCGGTGCCTTGTGTTCTTCCTACGATGTCTTCGTGCCGCATCAGATTAGACACGATGGCTGCGTGCCCTAGACCAAAGCAACCCCGTGGACATGAACGCCATCACGCGAGCGATGCCTTTTGTTTCCTATAGAAGAGCTGTCTTTGTTCACTTAGACGAAAGGTTGTTAGAGCAAATCTAACCAATTCCCTAAAAATAGAGGAGTAGTATCTTAAAAAAATAGAGGAGTAAAACGGCGGAGTAAATTTTAGTAGAGTAAATTTAGTCCACTAAATTTTGACCGTTTCTAGCCAACCCGCTAAATTTAGTGGAGTGTTTTTTTTTCATTTGCATCACATATTCGGCGATCAAAACACATTCCTTACTTTTTTTTATTTCACTCAACGACGTTGGAGTACATAATTCACCAATTTCTTTTGCATCACATATTCGGCCACCAAAACACTTCTTTCTTTTTCGATTCTAAAGAAGTAGACTTTGCTTCGCATCTAATTTCATCTCTAGTCTTATATCCAGTCTCATCTCTATCCTCAATAGATCAATGTATTCTTCTTTCCAATATCAAACTTGCATCCATCATCCTACACACATAGATGAGCAACAATTAGCTACCGAAATTGCGCGGAATCTGGTGAAGAATCGAATCAAAACAAGCACACACACCCCATCGCTTGTGCATTTTACACCCATCCGGGATGTTGCGGCATGGTAGAAACTCGACCCGCCACTTGCCGCCTGCAGTCGTCGCACCGTATGATGGGTAGCAGCGAGCCGCTGCACTAGCACCGAGTGGGGCGACGACCGGGCGTGTATTTTTTTTATATTTTTTTTAGGAAAGCCACTAGGGCTTACAACCTGATGAAACAGCTATTACAGTCCCTGGTAACCAAGGGAAGGATATCAGTAGGAACAGTAGCAAGCATGCTACAATCGCCATGCACTCGGGCAAGGGCCGCCAGCTCGTGCGTCACACTGTTGCACGTTCTGCTGATCACTGAGATTGCAATCTCCTGAAAGTTCTGCATGACAAGTTTAATGTCCGCAATGGTATAGTGCAGGGCTGATTTGTTCGGTGATTCAGGTTTTAGGAGTAGTCCAAGAGAAGCACAGTCAGTTTCCACTATGACTTTGCCTCTGAATCTAGCGGCTAGCTCCTGCAGGCCATATTTAAGGGCCAAGGCCTCCGCTTCCTCTGCATTTGCACACGTCTCCAGCCTTCGACAACCCGAAAGAGCCACTACACCAAGCTAGTCTCTGACATGAGAGATTTGAGTGGCTAAAGGAGGAGCTGATACTTGCATGGGGCGCAGAGGGGTTGCCAGGGCTGTGCGGTTCGCTTCTCGGCCAATTCATGGCAAGGCGCAGCCGCCGGTGACTGGAATCGCCAAATTCGGCGCTGACGACAGCAGTCGCAAATCCAGTGCTTTTTCGTCAGCCACGGGATGAGGCGTGATGTGACCGTCGACAGGAAATCGATGGCGCGAATACTTTCCCAATCCTTCGCAGTACAACTAAATTTATATAGCAGCCTGACGACAATTTAGAATTAGGTTTACCAAAATGCAAACCCAACCAAACAACAGGCGAACCCCGCAACGGCTGGAATCACCTGAACGATCTTTAGAAGATCACGCGTAGCAATTGGAGAAGCTTCCCAATCCTCGCGAGCAAGAACAACCACGATGGGTTTTTTTTTTTTGCGCCTCAACCACGATGGGTTTTTAACTCACAAACACACAGTATTCTCCGCCAGGAACCATGGCGATTTTTCTAGTTTTACCCACGCAATAAAAAATTGTCCATATAAAGGCAGCGCCCTGACCTTTTATATGGCCGACCAGATAGACCTAGACCCAGACTCCTAAACCAAAACGGCAGCCCAAGCTGAACCGAACAAAACACCTAACAAAGTACTAGTCGGACGGACAACCCGTGTATACTACTAAAGGTAATATCATTAAAAGTTATAGAACTTACGCTCGATGTTTAATTTGGTGCTAAAACTTTGAAAATACGGATTTGAAGTCATCCAACTTGCGTTCTCGTGCAAATACGGTCACATCACTCGTATTCAGACATATTCGTGCTTATGTGGCACGCCAACGTGGCTATGGCCCACCTGTTAGTGACGGGAACAGCATCGCACAACCCAAATGAACGTCCGTTTTATCCGGATTTCGTCTGAAGTGACAATGGGTGGTTGCGTCCGGCTTTTGTTGGAGGCGACCAACACGGCCGACCATCCCCAAAACATTCGTCTGCACTTCGATTGCGCGCCCATGCCTGCGCCTCTCCCGCTCGCGAGCTCGCGCTCTAGCCGCGCCGCATCAATGCTCACCGGGGTGCAGCAGCAGTAGCCAAGCTTGCCCGCGCGCCCGCGCCTGCCAGCCCGCCCGCCCGCTCGCTCGTGCTGTGCTCGCCGGCACAGAGGCCGCAACTGCGTCTTCCCGCGCGCTCGCGAGCTCTGGCCGGGATCCACCTCGTAGTCCTCGTCCTCGTCCTCGCTCTGGTCAGAGTCGAACCCGCCAGCACGCCCCCGTCAGTTGTGCCCTCGCCAGTAGCTATTAGTCCCCATAAAGAGAAACGCTGAGTTTTATATATTGCCCACGACAACTACTCGTATTCAGGTTCTTTTTCTCTCTGACATTTTTTTTGTTAAACCAAATATATTTATATGTTAGTTCATTTTAAAATTTCAGGCTAAAAAATGGAATTGGCAAGATATTTTGGAACCCAAATTTTCCGACGCCTTCCGGAAAAAAAGGAATAAAAAAGAAAAACTCGCTCATGAAAAAGTTTTGTATGTTATGGGTTAAACATTATACATTTTGATGTGGTTTTTCAATTTAATTTTTTTATGAAAAAGGCCGAGATTGTCCTGTATCCGGCTTTTGACCAAACCCTGAAAAAAAGGTATCTAAAAAAACAATTGTGTCTTTTTTGTGTGGGGAAAAGAAATTGTGTCTACTAATGTAAAAACAAATGCACCTCTTTATAGGCACGACTATGTAGGTACTGCAGTGGTTTGCTAGCGTGATTTCAAATGCCCACATGCACTTTTTATTCTCATTTTTCAAGCGGGACCCATTATGTTATTGAGGGGCTTCTGCTTATTTAAATACAGACCAAGGGGTGTTTCTGCGAAAAATATATGCGTCAAGCTGTTCCAGTCACTATCTCGCAAAAAAAAGCCGTTCCCGTCACTAACAGGTGGACCATAGCCACGTTGGCGTGCCACATAAGCACGAATATGTTTGAATACGAGTGATGTGATCGTATTTGCACGAGAACGCAAGTTAGATGACTCCAAATTCATATTTTTAAAGTTTTAGCACTGAACATCGAGCGCAAGTTTTATGACTCCCGATGATATTATCTCAACATGTTTTCTGTCCAACGGGGACATGTTGTTGGCACCGGCACGCGTCAACCTTCCCGCCGGGCGCGTCGCATTTCAGCCTCCCGTCTTAATGCAAAAATAATAAATGGGCGGCCGACTATGTTGTGGCCAGCTCGCCAGCTCGCGGCGCGACGCGTGCCACGGCGCGCGCGTACGTGTGCCCCGCTGCACTAAACAAAAGGAGAGGGCCGTCCCTCCCATGAGTCCCATCGCCGCGCCGGTCCGCCGACCGAGACCGATAGAGAGAGAGAGAGAAAGCACACCCACGCCCGCCTCCGCCTCCGTTCATTCGTGGAGAAGCGAACCGATTCCCGGCCGACTCCCCGTCACTTTCCCGGTGGTGCCCGCGACAGCGAGGAGGAGGAGGACGATGGTCGTAACTGTGGCAGCGACGGGGTCGGACACGGCCGAGCCGCTGCACTCCACCACCTTCGCCTCCCGCTACGTCCGCGACCAGCTCCCCCGGTCAGTCCCCTCCCCTCCTCTCCTTCTCTCCTCCACACACACCACGCCAGTACGGCTAGCGGTAACCGGCCACCCACTACCCCACCACCAGTCCACCACCACTCCACTACAAGGCACCAGCGCACACACCGTCGGTGTGACACCACCACCACCACTGCCAGCCCACCCCATCTTTTCTCCCATCCCATCCATTCCCACCACACTGCACAGCGGCGCGGAGCAGTAGTCGCCGGCGGCCATGGTGATATCGCACGCGAGCTCCAGCGCGGGGGAGGCCGTCTACTCCACCTTCTCCTCGCGCTACGTGCGCGAGGAGCTCCCGCGGTGACCACCCATCCATGCGAGCAGCACCCACCGGCGGGCCGGCCGGCCTCGACCCCTCCGATCTGACGGATTTTGGTTGCTGGCTCCGTCGTGTGCAGGTACCGGATGCCGGAGGGGTCGATCCCCAAGGAGGCGGCGTACCAGATCATCAGCGACGAGCTGATGCTGGACGGGAACCCGCGGCTGAACCTGGCGTCCTTCGTCACCACCTGGATGGAGCCCGAGTGCGGCAAGCTCATGATGGACTCCGTTAACAAGAACTACGTCGACATGGACGAGTACCCCGTCACCACCGAGCTCCAGGTCCGGCCGGGATGCACACCCCAGATCCCACTCTCCTTTTTTTAATTTGTTTTTCCTTACCATTTCGGGGCAAGGGGACAATCCCCAACACTTATACTAATATGTTCACAAGTACTAGTAGCAAATCTCCTAAAAATGGAAGGGTCCGAGATCCCAGCAGCCAGGAGGTTTTGGTTGGTACCGCTCTGTTTCTACTCTCTTCTGCTCTGCTGCTCCCTTCTATTCTAACCAGAGCGCGGCGGAGGAGAAAACCAATGGCTGTGCATGGTAATCCATATCCTCAACAGGAAAACATGTCCATCAGGCTTCAGATAACGCTGCTGATGTTACTCAAACACCAGTGAATTTCGACCCGACGAGATGAATGAATTCGCTAATCCACAATCTGAATAGGAGAACGTATCCATCAGGCTTCTTGAGAGCTGCAGTTAACCACCTGATGCTAGCCAGCCACTGGTGCATAGTAGTGGTGGAACATCCCATACTAGTTTGGTGTGGTTCATTTACTAGTACGTAACTGTTTGTGACCCACCGGCCTATCAACCTTCTTGAGAACATAGTTTGCTTCAGTAACGGGAAAGTGATGGCTGTTTTGTTATCCATATGGTTGAACCTTGAACTGGTTGTGACACGGATGGATGGTTTTGTTCTGGGTTCGGTCTGGCTGAATCTGGAACTAGTACACTTTAAGAAATCTTCCTATTTTAGGCCTCACCTGGTAGGGAATTTGGTTATAGTGACTGTATTTTTTATGCTGTTTCTAAGAGCACGCAATGCAAACAGCACTGTAATGCGATTTCTGGTGGGCACCATGCCAGGTAATTGCAAGACGACTATGCAAAACCTGTTACAAACCCATGGAGCAGAGCAGAGCTTCTAATCCACTTATTTCCTGTAATACGCTTATTATCATATACTGTTGTTGTTCGATTTTAACAACCAACATTCCTATATCTCGGAATGCATGGACAAGCTGTTGATTTTAAGCACTATGCGCATTTGCTTATCACTTGTTTGTAATTTCGCAGAACCGTTGTGTAAACATGATAGCTCACTTGTTCAATGCACCGATCGGTGAGGATGAGACTGCTATTGGAGTCTCAACAGTGGGGTCCTCGGAAGCGATAATGCTTGCGGGCCTGGCGTTCAAGAGGAAGTGGGCAAACAAAATGAAGGAGCAGGGGAAGCCATGCGACAAACCTAACATTGTTACTGGTGCAAATGTTCAGGTATTTTTCCTGTTGTTGTTGTTCCGTGAAGTAAAATCTTTTAAACTTTACCACTGTATTTATGTGCCAGGAAAGGTGCCTCTTGTAACCTCTCATGTGCTCGTAGGTTTGCTGGGAGAAATTTGCTAGATATTTCGAGGTGGAACTGAAGGAGGTCAAGTTAACTGAAGGGTACTATGTCATGGATCCTAAGAAGGCTGTTGAAATGGTGGATGAGAACACTATATGTGTTGCAGCCATCCTGGGATCTACTCTCACCGGAGAGTACGAAGATGTGAAGATGTTGAATGACCTTCTTGTGGCAAAGAACAAGGAAACAGGGTATGTATTTTCTATGCTGTCAATTATATTTAGTCATCATAGTGGATGGACAAATATCATTGAAATTGTGCAGAAAGTATGCAGCACAGTTTGACATATCACATATGTTTAGTCATCATAGTGATGGATAACATGGTTTGACATATGTCTTCATACCATCATACACATAATGCAGGTGGGATGTGCCGATCCATGTTGATGCTGCCAGTGGAGGATTCATCGCTCCTTTTCTCCAGCCTGAGCTTGAATGGGACTTCAGGCTGCCATTGGTGAAGAGCATCAACGTTAGTGGGCACAAGTATGGCCTTGTGTACCCTGGTGTTGGATGGGTCATCTGGCGGAGCAAAGCCGATCTGCCCGACGAACTCATCTTCCACATAAACTATCTAGGAACAGATCAGCCCACGTTCACACTGAACTTCTCCAAGGGTCAGTATATCGTTCTCTAGTTGAGCATGATTTCTCTCTGATGTTACAAACAACTTAGGCATGTACTGTGTCAATTCTGTGCAGGTGCTAGCCAGATCATCGCGCAATACTATCAACTGATCCGCCTCGGCTTCGAGGTACGCAGATAATTTTGGCCCAAGGCATTGAGGGTTTCCTATGGATGACTGAAATGATATGTACTACATTTGTCACGAGTGCTGTTTGGGTGTTTGACATCTTTCCTCGCACTTCACAGGGGTACAAGCACATCATGGAGAACTGCAAGCTGAACGCGGCGGTGCTGAAGGAGGGCATCGACGCGACGGGGCGGTTCGACGTGCTGTCCAAGGCGGACGGCGTGCCGCTGGTGGCCATCCGGCTCAAGGACAGCACCAACTTCAGCGTGTTCGACATCTCGGAGAACCTGAGGCGGTTCGGGTGGATCGTGCCGGCCTACACCATGCCGGCGGACGCGGAGCACGTCGCCGTGCTCCGCATCGTCATCCGGGAGGACTTCAACCGGAGCCTCGCGCAGCGGCTCCTCGCCGACATCAACAAGATCGTGGGCGAGCTGGACGCGCACGCCGTCCACGCCATCAAGCTGTCCACCGCCGCCGCCGCGGAGGGCGCCTCCAAGAGCACCGTGGACGCCGTCACCGAGGCCTTCAAGGGCCTGGCCGGGAACAAGAAGGCCGGCGTCTGCTGAAGGCCGGGATGGTGCTTGCTTGGTGAGACGCCCGGCGCCTTCTTTCTTTCATCACGTATGTCTATGTTGTATCTTGTGTAATTATTATTGTGGAGGGGCGCAAATGTGAACTGTCAGGACCTGCCTCCTCCTTATTTTGTACGTACGCGGATTGCACGCTCCATTTCGTCTGTGGTTGTGTACAGGAAGGACGCCTCTCCATCGAGGTCACTATGTATCTGTTGTTTGCTTAGCTCTGTGTCGGAATGTTACGTGTTTGAATGTTACGTGTTTGTTGTATCCTTTGAATGTACTCCCTCCGTTTGGAATTACTTGTCGTAGAACGGAATTACTTGTCGTAGAAATGAATGTATTCGGAATTACTTGTCGTAGAAATTGATGTATTTAGATGTATTTTAGTTCTAGATACATTCATATCCGAGACAAGTAATTCCAAACAGAGGGAGTATTGCATTATATAGTGCTGCTGGACAACGTTGCCAAAGCTTCAGTATGTAATGTAATGCGTCCGTGACTCTCTCCAGGTTGCCTGCGCCAGCAGCCTTAGCTTCACCATATTCACCTCTAATGACAAAGCCCCAACCTCCAGTGTTGGATCTCTTTTGAAGAGCACCGCATGTGTTGACCTTGAAGAATCCTGAAGGCGGTCGGGACCATTTCGCCGCAGACTGTTGTTTTAGCTTCTTCTCTTCTTTCTTCACCTTCGAAAAACTTCCAAACATGATAATTAATTGAGGAACAGCTAGATTTCATCAGAGGTATTCACAACATCTACCTAGTCACTATCGATCATGAGGTCCGACTCCCACATGCCGACGTCCTACATTCCTAGCCATTATCGATCCCTCGAAAAGAAAATATCGACCCCCTCCGCGCGACGGCAGCAGCGCAAGTCCCAGCCGGCGACCATGGCGGCAGCAGCAGCAGAGGCTCCTCTCCTCCGCGAACTCCCAGATGCCATCGTCCTCTGGGAGATCTTGGTCCGCCTGGACCCCAAGTCCCTCCTCCGCTGCCGCGCCGTCCGCCGCGGCTGGCGCAGCGCCACCTCCACCCACCCCTTCCTCCTCGCCCACCACGCCCGCCAGCCCGCCCTCTCCATCTTCTCCCACTGTGAGTACATCGGCAGCGACAGGAAGCAAGACATCCTCCTCCTCGACCACCAGGCCGCCCAGCTCCACACCGTCGTCCGGTTTGACCGTCCCTACCAACTGGAGGGCTGCTGCGACGGCCTCCTCCTCCTCTCAACCAGGCATAGCATTTTGAATGCCTCTCGCACCGGCCTCTCCGTCTGCAACCCCACCACTCGTGAGATGGCCTCCCCGGGGCTACTGCTGGACTTCAACATCTTGGGGATGTACCCGCACCGCCCTACCGGCGAGTACCGGCTGCTACTGCAAGGGAGGAAGCACGAGACGACGCAGTGGGACACGCCTACCGACCGAACTGGCTTCTATGTCCTTGCGCTGGGCTCCCACCAGCCACCGAGGCACGTCGGGTGCGGCTCCGAGACCAAGCTAGCGTGGGCGATCTTTGAAGCCGGTGTACCTGTCCGGCTGCGTGATTGCCTGCACTGGTACCGAGTGTTTTATCGCAACCCATCGGAGGAGGACACTGGAAGCAAACTGGTAGTCTTCGACACCATAGCCGAGTCGTTTCGGCAGATGCGCGCTCCACTTGTTCCCACCAAGTCATACATCTTTGAGATGGATGGCATGCTTGGCATCTATACCTGTAACAGCATGACCACCGGCCAAGTTGTTGACATATGGGTGCTACACAACTACGGAAGTGAGGCTTGGGACTTGAAGTACCGGGTTCGATTGCCGATCGCGAGAATCAGGGGGAGGCCAGAAGGTCCTGCTGGTGGTTGGTTTCTGGACGTTGTTTCGGGTGATGGTGGTAACGCGCTCTTGCTGCTCTGTTTTGGTCGTTCGATGTTTTACATTGACACTGATGGCAAACTGGTTTCTACATTACGGAGCTGCCATTCCTGGGATCAACGGCTGAAGCAAACTCTTGTTCCTCATGGTTTCTTCAAGGCACTAGAAGGTTATGCTGTGAATGGTTCCCCTTTCATCCCTTCCATCTGATGGTTGTTGAGTGAGGTGGTGCTTCTTGACGCCCTGGTTTTCGTATCCTCATGAGCTTCAGTGTCTATGAGTTGGATCAAGTATGAGCATCATGATTTCTTTGTTTTGTGTTGATGTATAAAAAAATTATGATCAGAAGCGACTTTTATGTGGTTGCATGAAATCTATGCTTGTTTTGATACCCTTTCGAGATGAAGTGACTACTGCTTATGTTGATGCTAGATTATCACGCCATTTTGCTCTGCTTTTGAACTACTTTCCAACTATAATACGCCCTGTCATGTCTCTATTTTCTTGGTCTTCCCAGTACTTGATACGGAGTATTTAACAATCTATATATGTCTCGTACCACTATTGCTTGAACTGGAGAATTGATTTTTCCTCTTCATCCATTGGTCTTAGTGGTCAATTTTAGTGTGTTTCCTGTTTTTACCCTTTGATGTAGGACAGTAGGAGCAGCTGAAAAAGAGAACAGGCAGATTTCACTTTGCTGACCTGCATGCTGCACCTGACTTCTAGAATACCTTGGAGCACTATTGATTAAATCGGATGCTTACATATTGCATCATAATAGTAACTTGCCAATGAGGTGTCCTGTTATAACTTCTGGTTAGGTAGGTCTTATGGAGACTAAAGCTCACCACTATAGCGAGAATTGGACATGATTATATGTCTCCTTCCAGGAGTTGTAGTAGTATATCTTTTTCAGTAGGTTTTTTTTGTTGGGGAGTCGTGGTAGTATTCTTCTAGAGAAGACTGAAACTGCGCTGAACAGCTGGGTTCGTCCACTCGCATCTGCAAGTACTAGAGAAACTAGGTTCCGCGAAGCTGCACAGCAGTTTTCCGACAACAGTTTTTCTTGTCGGTGTCCGTCCTTTCACAATCATCCAGCTTCTCTCCGGCTACACCATCGATGTCCCAGATTCTCAACTGACCTTGCAACAAATGTTCTAAGCCGCCAATAAATCTCATTTCAACTTTGGGGATAGTGAGCTTCTGATAAATAATTGTTTCTGTTTACCCTTTGGTCGTTTGTCTTGTGAATTTTTCTGTGCCTTGACTTGTTCCGTGTAAGCAAGAAACAGTTTGACTCTAGGTTAGATCACCTGTGGTGGAAGTGGAACTACAGTTTGCTGTCTTAATTAGAACATGGTATCAACCTAATGCTCCATCAGCTGCCTTTTATATGAGTGTACACCTGTTCTTCCCTTGTATTACCTACTTAGCAATGCAGCCTGCTACTCCCTCCGTTCCAAAATAGATGACTCAACTTTGTACTAACTATTGTACAAAGTTAATATAAAGTTGGTGTTAGAAATATAATTGGGTTTAAGTTAGAGATAAGGAGATAGAGATAGAATTAGTTTAAACCACATAACTTGTCTTGTACTCCAAGTCTCTATCCCTCTTGTACTTCTATATATACCCTACACAAGGGTTAGATCAATACAACGAATATTGTAGGTTCTATATTTTCTACAGTTGGGTCATCTATTTTGGAACGGAGGGAGTACTTGTTTTTGATTACAAAATGTTGGATCACTTCTTTCCCCTCTGTAAATGTTGGCTCAGGCAGTCTTTTTCAGCATACCTTTTTTCCGGCTCTAGAAGGTTATGCTGTGAGTGTTTCGCCTTTGATCTGACGGCTGTTGTGAGTTCCTTTCTCTTTCTGGCTAGTTTTCGTATCCTCATCTGCTGCAATATCTATGAATTGGATCGAGTATGAGCCTGCTGGCCACTTTTTTTTTTTTTGCATTGATGTATACAAGTTATGATCAGAGGCTCTGACTGTTATGTGGTTGCATGAAATCTATGCTTTTCCTTGGTACCTTTTTCAGGCTGAAGTGACTACCGTGTGTGTTGATACTGAAAATCGACATGTCCTTTTGCTCTGCTTTTGAAATTATTTGCTAACTAATCTGCATCGTGTGTCTATTTTATTTGGCTCAGGAATTGACTTTGCTTTTATTTATTTATCTAGTGGTCTTCTTACTACTCGCTTGTTAGCAATTTATTTGTCTCATGTCCCCCTTCCATGAACTGAAGAATTGACTTACCTTGGTATCTAGTGGTCTTCTTAATAGTCAATATTTAGTGTCTTCCCTGTTTCTACCCTCTGTTGTAGCCAGCCGCACATAGCTAGAGCGCCTCCTCGAAGGCCAAGCCAGCAGGCGTCTTTCTGGCGCTAGGACTCCTCGATGGCGCACTGGAACGTCGCCGCGGATGCGATCTGGTACACTCTGCCTCCGCCTCCTCTTCCTCTTGCTTCACCGTCGTCGGCTGCGGCGGAGGTTGGGCCTCGACCTGGACGGCACACTTCGTGCTCCCTGGCGAACCGGACATCCCAGTTCGGGGAGTCTGCCACGTACGCTAGCTCACGGCGTGCTCCGGCATGAGGAGAGCACGCCACTTGCGGATCTCCTCTGCATGAGCCCGCTCGGACTGTGGCACGACCGGCACCAGAATGCGGTGGGGGTCGAGGTGCCCGCCGTGGGGAAGATTCACGTTCAGCTACGACAGTGGGACACGGTACTCCCAGTGACACTGCACAGTGCACCGAGATGTACAGTCGATCGTGTGGCCGGCGAGCCCCCACTCTCCCTGGCACCAATGTGAACTTGATCGGCCGCGTGACGAGCTTGGCCTTGCCCTTGCCCTTGTTGAAGAAGCCGGCCATGGCGACTAGGGATTCTGTCGACCGGCGATGAGGCACATGTAGCCCGATGTGGCGGGAGTGGGGAAGGAGAAGTGGATAGGGTCGGCCTCTCGCACGCTAGCAATTTAAAATGACCCGGACTCTTAAGGGTTCCAGCCGCTGCCACGCGGGCTCGTGGTGGTCCGGTCGCATTGAATACAACCACGCTGGTGGTTGGGCGGCCGACACGCGAGCCCAAGGCAAACACCGAGAGGACGCGCGGGCCTTGTGTCCGTGTGGATGCAAATTTAGACTGAAAATGCGTTCAGTCGGACAGCGGGCGGACGTGATTTGGGGTTGTGTCTGCGCGTTGGGCCGACATTTCAGTCCGTTTCCACCCAAACGGACACGGGACATGACATGGCAGTACAAGTTAGCATCGAACACACTCTCCAAGGCCTCTACGACAACCTTAGATTAGCTCGAGGTTGGGAAGAATATATTCAGTGAAATGACAAATCTGTGCACTCATGCACCCCATGATTTTTGTCCCTTGGATGTGGAAATGATGGACAAGACTGAGATAAAGACTGAGATACGAGCACATTTTGCAAAATAAACCTTATATATAATCAAATGCAACACGTACTCCATTTCTCACTGCAGTTTCATTACGATGTTTTGACTTGGATGAAATATGAGGTCTTATTGCAAATGTGTCAGACTATCAAGATGGATTGTTGGTTGCGCTTGTCGTAACGTCCGAGGTCCATTCTAGAAATGTGCCAACAACACTTCTTTGGACCAATTCAAACTACTGAAATAATTTAGAAGTTAAGTAAAAATAATTTTCAAATGCCACTAAAACAATTGAACAAATATGATTTAAAATAAAAAAAGATATCTGACTCTTTGCGGAATTGTTGTAAAAATTACTTTGAAAACATTTCATTTATAGAAGATAAAAACATTGATGGAACACATTAGATAGATTCCGAAATTCATGGATAATGAGATAAAAAGGAATCCGAAATACTCCACCACCTAGCCACATATGCCGAGCTCGAGCCAGCTGATTGGTAAATCAAATTCCTCCACATAGCAGAGCCGTTGGAAAATGACTGCCGCCGCTAAGCGACGTGTCCTAAAAATGACGTGAGAGGGTCTAGAAGGTCAGTGAGTAAAACGATCATACACACGCATGGAACTACTAATTCTTGGGCTGGAAGAATAACTTTTACAAGTTTTCTGCTTAGGCGATTATCTATCAGAGAATAACGTATATATTTGTTACTGAATCTTTAAAAGAATATCTATGTCCCATGTATACCAGCATGCAAAAATGTCCAAAGCTTGGGCATTGGAGGGAAAAGAATTCTATGAAACCAGGTCTCACACGAGACTCATCCTAATGAATGATACGTGGCATTCACAAATCATAAAATATCCTGCTAACCGTGAAACTTGGTCTCATATAATTTTTTTCCGGCATTGGAGTTGATCTCTGGGCGGCACATCCGGCGACAATTCCGGCTCTATGCTTCACCTACACCGGAGCTCCCGGGGTTGCATGCACAGCACAGGTGATGGTACCCGCTCTACATCTGCTGCCTGTTCCGATGCCACTGCTGCCGGAGCAAGCCGTAGTGGACGCCGACGGTTCTTGCCTCCCGATCGAAGCTCCACAGCCTCTTGAACATGCCCCGAGACTTGGACTCGTCGCGCCACCATCCTTGACTTGACCCCGGAATATCAATCACCGGCACCGCTGCCGTTGCAAGGGCGAAGCGGCCTCTTCATCAGAGGTCACGGTCACCGCGCGGCGCGTGGCCTGGTCTGAAACCCCGAGCATCAGCAGTTCAGCACACTCGCCGGCAGGTTCCCGGCGTAATTCGCGGGCTCCTGCGGTGTGGGAGGGAGACTCGTCGACGTAAGCGCGTCCGGAAGCTTGCAGACGACGGTGACCCGGCAGAGCGGGCAGGTGGAGCGGGACGCCAGCCACACGCCGATGCACCCGGCGTGGAACCCGTGGCCGCAGCAGGGCAGGAACCTCGCCTGCTCCCCGTCCTGGAGCCCGGCCAGGCACACCGCGCACTCCAGCACCCCGACGTGGTCCGCCGTGCGGTACACCGTGACCGGCAGCGAGCCCAGAAACTCCGGGCCGACGCCCCTCGGCGCGGGCACCTCGGGGACGCCGGTGCTGAAGTAGTAGCGGAGGAAGAAGCTGAGCGGGAAGGCGACGAAGATGAGGAAGAGCACGAGGATGGCCGCCGCGATGAGCATGCCGTCGAACGGGTCCATGACATGCGTGTGGCTCGGTGAGTGAAGATCGATGCGGTCCGTTCCATCCCCAGGTCACTCGTAT